AATTTCCAGCAAGTGAGGAGAAACTTTAGGCAAGGAGAGGGGAAAAAAATGGCAGGAGAAAGAGAGAAAAGTAAAAGTCATAAGTGGGGCATTACTTTTTAATCCAAATACTATCTCGAAATTTTGCTTTCTGCGTGTGCCCGAGATTTTCAGGCCGCCATTTTGCATTTGGATCGAAAGGCCGTCGAGTGTACGAGCTGTCAAGGGGTTTTTGGTAAGTTTGAGCTTCAAAACTAGCTTCAAAACACAGTTTTCCACAAAAGCTGTGGCCATTAACAAAGAACCAAGTTTTTTCGGAAAATCCATTTTTCAGGACTAAGCAATCAAATAGGTCTATTTAATGTAAAATCAGGTGAAAAAGTTAGGGTTAGGGTATCTTTTAGGGTTAGGGTTAAGATGACAAAACAACTGTATGAGGAAAACGGAGGCGGTCCTTTTTGTTAGCTGGGAAATTATCAGGGGTAATATAAGTAAATACGCTAAATAAGCATGCTGTAATATTAAAAATATTGTGGTATCCAGGCTGCAATATTAAAAATATTGCAGTGTCCAGGCTGCAATATTTTTAATATTGCAATGTGCAGGTTACAATTATTAAATATATTGCAGCTTGTTTTAGGAAATTTAATGTATAAAGCACACCAAAATTGATAGCTTAACACATTGTCAACATTACCGTTTGCGTTTAACTCTCGTTCATTCCAACTTAATTTTTTGTTTTGAAGTGCAACTTTAATCAACTAAAACTTTCAAACACTGAAAATAAATACAATCATGCAAGGAGACTGATAGTATGGAGCACAATCTATTGCATTAAGAAGTATTATATTCATCAGTTTATTTATAGGAAATAACAATTCTAGTGGAATTAGTGCTAACAACTACTGACTGATTACTACCATCTTGATCACATTTTTCTGGACTTACTACTTTAACCTCTCGTGCAGTATAATTTTCTCCATAGAGCTCTGTGTCATAAATAATCCATCTTCTGATGAATCTATCCTCTTTCTAAACCCAGGTTTGCACATAGTAAAATGACTGAATTCTGTGGCTTATAAAGTATGCAAATGAGCAGTGTTACACGCCTTGCACGAATTAATTCCATCTTTAGAACTGTTTTGAACAACTATAACAACAAGCTACAATAACCCTCGGCACAATTAAAATCTAAGATATATTCATCACAACAAAGAACAATAGCAATGAGCATCACAATTATCACACATAGGAGCGACTAAAATCGAAGATCCAACACAGACACAGAACAATAGGATTTCATGGGGGTCAATAATTATAATAGATAATTACTTCGGCACATGGCATTATGAGAAATATTGCAGCCAGCTTCAGCCTACGGCCTCAGCTGGCTGCAATATTTTTCATAATGCCATATGCCGAAGTAATTATCCATTAAATAACTACAGCTTGCAGCAGAGCAGTCAAGTACAGATTGCTGCTGTAGCTCCAGTAGCTTAGTGGTAGAACATCTGAAGTACTAATCAATGGGTTGTAGGTTTGACCCCTATTGGGAGCTCCTGTAGTTCCAGTAGCTTAGTGGTAGAACGTCTGAAGTACGAATCAAAGGGTTGTAGGTTTGACCCCTATTGGGAGCTCCATTAACTCCAGTAGCTTAGTGGTAGAACATCTTAAGAACTAATCAATGGGTTGTAGGTTTGACCCCTATTGGGAGCTCCTGTAGCTCCTGTAGCATAGTGGTAGAACATCTGAAGTACTAATAAAAGGGTTGTAGGTTTGACCCCTGTTGGGAGCTGCAGTAACTTAGTGGTAGAACACCTGAAATACTGCTAATCAAAGGGTTTTAGGTTTGACCCCTATTGGGAGCTCCTGTAGCTCCTGTAGCTTAGTGGTAGAACATCTGAAGTACAAATCAATGGGTTGTAGAATTGACCCCTATTGGGAGCTCCTGTAGCTCCTGTAGGTTAGTGGGAGAACATCCGAATCTGAAGTACTAATCAGAGGGTTGTGGGTTTGACCCCTTTTGGGAACACTCTGAGTTCTTTTTGTGTGAGTATGCCTGTTTCATTCACTGAATAACATCTTATTTCAATGAAGCATTTGTCAAATAAATGAATTCCAAATCAAGGTAAACCATACACAATGCACTCCCACATGCAATCTTCCTGTGATCACTTGGAATCTTAAAATTAAAATGTCACACATAATTAAGATCTGCATGGCTTTGACTCCTAAGAGTGATTGACATCTAATTTATCCTAACAACATCACCCCTGAATGACACATTATTGTCACGGGAATAAAGGAAATGATCACCTACAAAAGAAGCTCCTGATTGTTAAACAAATTATCCTTGTCAGCACCTAAGGAAATGTACGGAGAATAGTATAGTGAATAAGCATACTGATCTTGGGTTGTAAAGGGATAACCTCGTGGCCACCGATTTTCGAATGAAAGCTTTCAAAATTACTATCGTCCCGTGTCGCTTTTTTGCTCGCAAAACTTGACGCTTCATTCCGTAAACTTCCCGAACGTACCTCGTACAGAAAGGTTCACTAGCTGACCACTGTTGTGGCCTAATAAAGGGTAGGGCATCCAAAAGATCGCCTCCCGGTTAGCTCAATTGGCTAGAGCGCCGGATTGTGTTGTGTGGGAGGTCGAGGGTTCGAGCCCCGGCCGGACCCATACTCATGGTCTTAAAATAAGTGAGAATTTGCTACCTTTCTATAATCAAGAAATGGATAGATATTCTAGTCTTCTCGGATAAGGGCGAACAAACCGTGGGCCCGTCTCCTGCAGGGTAAGGGGTAGGAGACGTTAATTTCCCCACAGGCAGCCCAAGCTCACTACCAGAAAAGCGGATGTGACTCTTACCGTGTTGCACAACGTTTTATATTTATAAAGGTTTGTGTGGGATGTTATCGGTTTGCCTTAAAAGAGAGACAAAAATGTCTTGTTTTGAAAGAAAATGGACTTACCTTATTGCCTTGTTGTTTTCTTTGTTGATTCCTAGCGTCTCAGGCCATTTTGAAGCGTTTTCAGCGAGTTAGCGCTATGTTGGTGTTCAACTGCTAAAAGAAAGACAAGCCCGGAAACCTATTTTAGAAGTGTCCGTCGTCCGTCTCCTTATAACGTAATGGTAACAGTCGACGCAAAACCCACCAAATCGCTCAAATTCGCCATTTATAGCCACAGAAACGACAATACACAGCAAGTGAGGTAGGTTTACATTTATTTTGAGCTTTAACTCAGACATTTCTTGATACAAGTTTACGGTAATAAAACTCTTCAATATTCTCCCATACATTCCTTTAATATTTCGAATAAACAACCAGACGCGTCGCTTGTCTGGGTACCCTGTGGAGTATCGATACCCTGTCATTTTGCCTTCAAAATCAGCAACATGGCGGATGAGCGTGGGGACGGCTTTATACAGTTTACCTTTGACTATATCACGAAGACTTGGTTAGGCAAGCTGAAATGTGCAGAGTTGATATTTTCACTTCTCGCTGGCGCGTGTGGAGCAAGTGTTATGTCGTATTGGCATTGCAATTGTTCTAGCAAAGTCAGTTTCTCCAATTTTATCGCATGGACTGCCTTCATAAACGCCCTAATCGACATGATTATACATCTGATTGGTTTATGGGAAAGGCTTATTTGGTGGTTCCGTCATCCTGCGCTGTACCTAGTCTTTTGTGGGCTGGCTGTTGTGGGTTTTTTAATCGGAGCGTCTCTCACTGCTTAGTGCGCTAAACCAAGCTGTGTCAACAATTCTGGCACAGCGGGGGCTGCCGCTTTTTTCGGCTTCGTCTGCTTGGCTTTGTTCGCTGCGGAGTGCTTCCTACACTTTCAGAAGTACAGGAGTATGCAACAAGAAGCACGACATCAGTCGTCAAGCGGAGGCAAAGATACAGATTTCCAAGAGCCACCACAAGGTCCACCACCAGTCTACTCGGAGTCACCTGGAGTTGTGTGAGTGATCGAGTGTTCCCAACGAGTACACTACAGCTGTAATCATGATGCACATTCAACATGAATATACATTCTCCTTTTAGTTTGAAGGTACAGTTTTTCTTAGAGAAGGATATTACACGAGTTTTAGAGTAAGAAAGAGCGATGAAGGGGAAATGTTTCACGACTCATCTTTCCGATCAAAGTTAACTGTGCGGGTGTTACGAAAACGAAGACCCTCGAAAACGAAGACCTAAGACCCGGTCTTCGTTTTCGTAGTACGAAAACGAAGACCCTGTAAACAGAAAACCGTAGAAATTACAAGTTAAACGTACATTAAACAGTAACAACGCTTAGTAATTATAATATAACACATTACACTTCACCCGTTTCTTCCCATTATTATACTGCCCGTATTATTGTTGTTGTTGTTCTGCATTTATCTCACGGCACCGACTTCTTCAATTTGGAATCGTATGTGGATGACTCAAAAATATTCATGTCATTTCCGCTCGTTGAGCTTGATGCTGCCATTGAAAAGCTCGAACAAGATCTTTACAGTGTAGCCCAATGGTGTTGTGAGAACTATCTACTTATCAACCCCGATTAAACCAAACTCCTTTTACTTGGCACTAGACAGATTTTAAGTAGGTTACCGGAAGATCCTAGTGTGGTATTCTTAGGTAAAACACTGAAGCCAGTAGACTCTGCCAAGGACTTGAGAGTCTTCCTTGACCCCCATCTGACCTACGATCACCACATTTCACGTGTAGTGTCATCTTTTTTCGCAAAGCTTTGTCAAATTAATAGAGTCAAAAGGAGCTTCGAAAAAAAAATCACTAGAGTTGTTAATAACGTCGCTAGATTTTAGTAAGATGCTTTATTGCTCATCTGTATGGTCAAATACCACACTCCAGAATATAAACAGATTACAATCTATTCAAAATTTTGCCAGTAAGATCGTAACAAACTCTAGGAAGTTCGACCATTTAACACCTTTGCTTCGTGAGCTAAATTGGCTTCCTGTTAAAGAACAATTATTTTATAGAGACTCCGTTTTGACCTTTAAATGTCAGAACGGTCTTGCGCCGCAATACTTAACGAGTAAGTTTACCAAGCGATCAAATATACATACTCGTAACACCCGTACGCGGAACTCTTTGCAGATTCCGCTATACAGAACGGCTACTGGCCAGCACACTTTTTCCTATAGAGGGGCCAACATATGGAATAACTTGCTTAAAGAACTTAGGAAAAATGCCTCATTCGCATCTTTCAAGCGCGCTCTGCAAGACAAACTATTGAGGCAGACATTTCCTTTATAAGCTCTACAACTTGGTGGAATACTATCTTAAATTCTGACCATGAGTTTTATCGTTATTTATGTTTTTATATATTGTAAAAGTTTGTAAATAGTTTCTGAAAAACCTCACGAGAATGTTACTATTAAAGATGAAGTTCATTATTGTACTGCCCGTATTATTATACTGTCCGCCTTTATTGTACGGCCCGTCTTGTCTGTTCTGTTTCGCTATGCGAGCCAATTTGGTGTTGATATTCTCGAGGGTTTCCTCGGGTAAACTTAACACACATATTATTAGTCTGGAACAGCAGGCAGAATTCCATCGCCAGCCGCCTTTGATTTATAGTTAACATTGCGTGACAGAAAAACAGAGAAAGCGTTCTGTACAGGAAAAATGACTCTTGGGTTCTGTCAATAAATAATCGATTTCTACTGTATTTCGTTGCTAAAATTGATTCTGACGGTCGTTAAGCTTTCTCTACTGGACAAGTATCGTTGAAAAATAAGCAATTCTTTTGGCTAATGCAGGGTCTTCGTTTTCGTAGGACGAAAACGAAGACCCTTTATTAAAAGCAGACAATCCTTTGAAAGTACGATTGTAGAAGTAACCCGAGCACTAGTAATTGTTATTTCAGCTTTTGATATGTTAAGACAGTTCGCGCGTGGTTTTTCTTGGTCTTTCTGCAGCCACCACTGCTTTCGGCTCTTGGATTTGTTTTTCTATGCATTTAGTCCAAGTTTGGAACAGACATCCCTGTCGAAGGAGCTATCGGAATATTTTAGGGCCTCAATAAGGTTAAGCAGGCTTTATTCGGGCGCGTACTCTTTTTTGGCCTAGCGCACACTGCCTGACGGACTTGTACAGTGAACGAGACACGATCTTGCGAATAACTGTTTTATCTTGTTTTGCATTTTTGATTGGACTACCTGTACCAGGGTCTATCAAGAATGGAAATGATCGAAATCAACACAGTCCAGTTGTGTTATTAACACTTTATTATTAGAAAATTCTACAATCACCTTCCTCACTTTCAAATGTATAAGAAATGGCCGTCTACCGCCCCCAAGTTAAAACTACAGCATTTTTTTTAACGACAACGGTATAACACTTCCTATCTCCTGAACTTTTGTATTCGGTTGTGTAAACATCTCCAAAGGAACCTTTTCCTATTCTCTGTTTTACCGGCAATTCACTACATTTGAAGCGTAGAATCTCTTCTGCAATTTCGCTGCCAGGTGACCCTCTTCGTAATAGCTGAGGAAGCTTAAACTTTCGAAAAACCGACATAGTTGAATTTTTTATCGCTCCATCTGAACATGTCGCTTAAGTTTCGCGCAAAAATGTTTCCCTCGGCCGCTCGTGTGATAGTCGGCCTTTGACCTCAATTGTTCAAAGGAAGCTATTGTTTTGTCACACCACCACCAAGATCGTATTCTCTCACAGTACACGTCCGTCACGCAATGTGCGTTAGGCCGAAAAAGAGCGTGCGCGCCCGAATAAAGCCTGCTTAACCTTGTTGAGGCCCTTAAATATTCCGATTGCTCCTTTAACAGGGATGTCTGTTCCAAACTTGGACGCAATGCATAGAGAAACAAATCCAAGAGCCGAANACTAGTATATGTCCGTGTTAAAACACACGAAAGGACTCTAAAGCACACTTCACTCTGATTGGGCAGAAAAACACAAAGATTTTCTGGCACCAATCAGATGGCAGAACGACTGCGACCGTTTGGAACTAGTCTTGTAAGACAATGTCCCCAGGGGCTCTTCATGCCCTAACTTGAAATCGACTCAGCCCCTGGGTCTCCGAGGATGCTTGTCCATTGGGTGAGGATCATTCCTAGCGATTCGCACGATAGATGGCTGATCAGGGCGAAGCAGGTCAAGAAGCAACCACACGAAAGTGTAGCTGCGGTTGTTGTGATCCTCTGTGGATTGTAACCACGAAGGAAGGATGGCTAAAACTGGTCGAAGCTATATTAACTTTCTTGACGTTTGTCATTATCTCAAGTTTCCCTGGTAGCTACAAACCTGAATACGAGTTCTTGATCTTCGTTGCCACCACCGCCTGGATCTTTGTGATGCTGCACATCGTACTAAGAATCACTCACATCTTCGAGAAGCTCCCGCCCGTTCTCACGCAGCCTCTCCTAGGAATGATCGCTTGTTTCCTTGCTGCTTTGGCCCTGGTTATCGGTGCTGCCGTTGTTTACGCCAGGGGGAAAGATTTGGGTGATCAAAACTACGCTGGTACATTAAAAGCCTCAGGGATTTGTGGTTTCCTATCTGCATTGCTCTTCTTTTGCGAGGGTGTTTATTTCGTCTTTCGTTACCGCCGAGCGCCAAAACATCGTGCACAAGAGAAACCAATTGAAAATATCGAGGCTGACGATTTTGTACAGCCCTCCAAGCCAGCGCATTAAGGTGATTCACGGGATGTTATGCAGGTTCGTTTTTTCCGCTTTCATCCACGTGCTCAGAACTACCTAAGCTTAAAGCAAGTACCTTTTTTCCCCTTAAATTTACCACCATCCAAACTGTCGGAAAGAAACGAGTGCCCTCCTTTTAATTCTAACAGCCTTCTTAAAGTTTAACTTGTCTAGTAATCGAGGGAATTTTTAGTTCACTGCCGATCAAAGTTAACATTGCTCAACCCTTTGAAATATTATCAAACCAACATTTTTCTCTGGCTAGTCTTAAAAGCACCTTTTGTGCATCAGTTTCTATTTGATTTGGTCATTGCAATTTATGGAAATAATTGGTCAGGAATCTTCTGATTGCTTCTAACACAAGAGATTTTCCCGATAATATTCACGTTAAAACGTCCCACAGATTCGACTCACTTAACTGTTTTTAATGTCCCAAAACCAAAACTCGCTCAATCACACGTCGCCTCGCACAGTGTTATTTTTTCTTAAATCCTAGTCTTACATCACGTGATTACAGCCAATCAATGGGTAACGAGAACTAAAGGAACAAAATAATTTGGATATATCAACAAAGTTGAAATGATAAATTGGCCACCGTAACGATTACAAAAGCTGACGATTCGAGCGTTAGCCCTTCGAAACGTCAGCTTTTGTAATCGTTACGGTGGCCAATTTACCATTTCAACTTTGTTGATATGTCCAAATTATTTCGTTACTCCCACCGACGAAGCCCCAAACAGTTTCTTTCGAAACTATCAGCCTTTATTCAAAAGGAACAAAGTTCACTTCCACAGCGTGACAGTCACGCAGTCCATTTCTCAACATACAGAGGCACGAATGACATGAAACATTGTGTAAGGAATAAGTAAGGAACCCACATTGTCCCTTTTTTCTTTCAGATTTTAATATTCCCTGACTGTCTTACGTACACAACAAATTTGTACCTCTGACTCCCGAAAACTACTATAGATCTTGCATCTTTAGACACACCTTGATATAACAAGCTGACTGACTAGGAAGATCTTCCGGATAAAAGGGAAACAAACTTACTTATCACAGCACAGAGAACGTGAGGCTAGATTTCTCGACACTGATTTCACAATCATTACATTAAGATTTAATTGCTCAAATCGAAACTGATTTATCCTGTTACTGACAATGGTTTAAATTGATTCACAACAATCTGATTGGATTACAAATTTTCTAAAGTAGGTATTGGAGTTTATGCAATCAACTTTATTCCCAACCTGCTAAATATAGAAGTCTGCGCACATCTAGGAAACGTGTTAGCCAACCACGCACTTATAAATAAAGTAATTTTGGCCTAGAGGTTGGGAACTCAGAAAAAGATCTTGGGGTTATTATTACAAATGACACATTGGAAGGAGCACTTGTTTATGATAGTGGCTAAGGCAAATAGGATTATGGGAGAAATTGTGCCAGACTGGTGAACTGTACAACTCTGCTGCTACGTTATTGTTCATTAGTTTGCTTACATTTTTGTTATTGCTTACAGGTTTGGGACCCTCAGTCAGTTGTAAACCAGCTCTTTCTTAGTGAACAGGTGTATAGAAAAGAGCTACGCATTTTATTGTTGGTAAAGACAGAGTCCTGTCCTATAAGGACCATCTTATCAAACTTAAGTTACTGCCACCAAGTTACTGGCTTGAATAGCTAGACTTAGTTCTCTTCCATAAGTGCATGAAAGGTGATGTTAAATTTGCCAGACATTTTGATAACTATTTTTTATTATTAAGGGGGCACTCTCACCATCCTAGTACTGAGCTTTATCTTAGGACAAATAGAAACCCTACCTCACATTTTTGGGACTATTTCTTTAATACAATTGTATCGTGTGGAATAGTATCCCTGATGATATCAAGTTGGTGGAATCCTTCGGTTCATTTTTTAAGGAACTTTACAATTTTTTCAATGGGGACAATGTTCATTCATTTAAGATTATCTCTCCCAAATTTAGAAGAGTAAATTTTTATTGTGCCTGCACTTGAAAATTATTAATTAATCAAATAACCCTTTTTTTGGTTGATGGATTGTGGAAGGCATTTTTTTTTCTTGTTTTTAAATTATTATTACCATGGGGCTGGGCTGGTATTTGAATCTTGTAGGGGACATAATGTCTTATTATTTGTACTACCTGTACATTGTAATTAGTCTACAAATCTTTAAATAAGTAAATACTCAAAATAGGCAATTTTGGTCGGGGAGAAACTCATTTTAGTGTCCTTTTGAAGAACATTGCAGAAAATGTTTATATTGAAATGTTTTACAGTGAAGGCAAGGGGCATGAAAGATTTAGTAGGCTGCAGTTATCATTCATATAGTTTTTCCTTTTAGATAACTGTGTAATTCTTAATTAGATTGATTAGGAATGGAATTTTGTGTTAGATGTATACATGTAGCTTCATGCCGGTGGATCAAAAACTTGCATCTCATGGCAGACTACTGTTTTATTCCTAGCCCAAAAAAAAATTGCAACATTAATTACAGCATTGACAGATACTTTTAATGAAAACATAAAGGAAAAGGATTTTGGCCTAAATTGTGTGAGTAATAAAGCGTAAAACTCAAAAGTCTTAAGCCTGCATTCAGGAAATGCATAGAATTGTAGAAAATAGGTCAGTGGATGTCCTTTTGGTTTGTTGGACATGAGGAGGTTCTCATTGAAAAATCTTGGTCCTCTTAGGGTAAAAATGTCTTGATATTGACTAGGGTAAATTTGGCAAGTATACAATTTCCTTTATTTTTGTAAACCTCAATTGTGAAGGCAGTGCAGTTGAGTTAATTAAGTCTTGGGCACAATACATAACCTTTTCACTTTCTAGATCTGTCTTTTTGGGGTCAGAGTTCAAGCCCTTTGGTACTTTGATCACCTAGTTTTTCTATCTCTTTAAGTTGTCTTTGTTTTTCTGTTAACTTCGGAAAGCTCATTTATGTTGTGGCAATGAAAAATTGTTCATAATACTTTTTTAGTCTCTGAGATAAAGGTGCTATGTTGGGCATGCGGGCCCGCGGTATCTGTCACATATGGGCACTCATGCCATGTATGTACCCTGTAGATTTGAGAACCGCGCGCCATGTTGAAAATATAGACGTTGAGTTTGTATTGAGTTGTAGTTTTTCGTATGACTTAAATCCGTGAAACACAACAAAAGGAACACTCTGATGACAGCTGTGTCTGTTCAAATAGGAATTTTTAAGCTGTGCATTGCCATATTTTATATCAAGAAAGTGGTAATGATGTGTTGTTGTGATATGCAAATTTTTACAGTTTAAACTGGGTGGATTAGTTGCACCCAAATAACATCTGGTTGTAAACATTCAGTTACTCAATAAAGAAAATGTTAGTTGTTACTAAGAGGTTCAGTGGCAGGTCACAAATAACTGGACCCTTTCACTTCCATAACTGGCCAAAGCGGAATCTCTCTGTAAATTATAAACAGATTGTAAAGTGGACAAGTGAAATGAATGAATAAAAGTATCAATTAGCAGATAACAAGTTGATCTAATACCAAGTTCTCCAAACTTAAATCATAAGAATTGTATGGCAGACAGTGAGGAGGTTTGTTAATAAGATACAGGCTCTTTGCATGACTTGATCATGTGATCAACTTTCTGTAAACACAAAAACAGTTCACTTCTGAAACATTTTGTTAGCACAAGCGAGCTGAAAGAACATAATAAAACTGGGTAACCTGAGAATTTTTAGCCCTATATCTCAAAAAAGCGATTGCAACGGTCACCAAAAGTTAGAAGCATTTGTATGCCCGCGAAACAACTTTTGCCACCCAGTCATGCAGACATGGTTTTCTATACAAATCCTTGTAATTTTGAGATTTCAAAACTGTCATGAAGTATTTCCTTTAGCATTACAGGGCTCAAATCTCCTTTTAAAGACAGGCAATTTGATTTTCAACTTCGAGATATATGGCTGAAAATTCTTTGAGTTACCTAATTTTGATATGCTCTTTTAGCTTGTGCTGACAAAATCTTTCAAAAGTGAACTATTAAAGATTGTGCAGATCAACACGCATCTATTAAATCAAGACGCGTTAAAGGTATGCCAACACCTTGAATTTCTGACAAACTTTTGGGTCTTTTTTAGGCTAGTTTCGAATTGTTAGTGCGAGAAAGTCTGGTAACCAATTAAAAGCACCAAGTCGAGGCTGAGGGGAATAAGCGCTTATTTTGAAAGCAGATCGGAGTGACTGTAAGTGTGATATGAGGTTTTGTGCGATCGCTGTGTGCAAAAACAACTCTAAAAAACGACCAGATCTCAACTTTTTCGAGTTTCCAGGCGAAGATAGACTTAAAAAGAAATGGATTGCCTTCTGTCGTCGGGCTGATAAGGAGTTTACGTCAATCAAGAACTTACACATATGCTCTGAACACTTTGAGACGAAACAAATCGTAAAGAAACTTTCTGGGATCAAAAATTAGTACAAGGGACGGTTCCAACAATTTTTAATCCATATTCAGACCTTAGATGTCCGAATCAACGCGAGGAAAGGTCCAGTGAGCGGAGAAAACGAAATTCAATTGAAGGCATCAAAGAAGTAGTTCCCGCCAAAATTTTCCATGTCTCCATTGATATTGCCTTAAAAGATCATGACTACGTGGTAAAGGAAGACAAAGTTCACGGAATAAATGAATTCAAGGAAAAGGAATGTGTGTCTGTTTCTTGTCAAACGGACATTGATCACCAACAAACGGACGATTTGATGAAAAATGTGTCGATGCTAAAAGCGGAAAACAAAAGAATTCGAAACGAACTCAATGATAAGCCAGCATTATCACGAAAACTTTCCATGGACGATATACTGAAAAATGACAAATCCGTGAAATTCTACACGGGATTTCCAACATTGGCCTGTCTTATGGCGATATTTAATCTTCTGAAACCTGCAGCCGAGAAACTGAAATACTAGGACAGCAATAAGGGGAAAAAGTAAATTTCCAATACAGACCTGTGAAAAAGAGTGGCAAAAGGAGAAGTCTAACCATCTTGCAAGAATTTATTTTGACCTTGGTAAGACTTCGATTGGGTTTACTTGTTCAACACCTGTCAGACACTTTTTCCATCTCTAAATCTTCTGTTTGTAAGGTGTTCACCACTTTGAACTCCTTTCTTGCTATTACTTTGAGAGATGTTTTGTTGATTTGGCCTTCTAAAGAAATGGTTCGCCTAAACTTGCCCAGGTCATATTGAAATTATCCATCCACTAGGGTTATAATTGATTGTACGGAGATATTCATTCAGAAACCTACCTCTCCTGCTGCACAACGAGCCACATGGAGTGAATATAAGAGCCATAACACTACGAAAACGTTAGTTGGAATAACTCCATCAGGATTTTTCAGTCTTGTGTCAAAATTGTGGAGCGGAAGTACAAGTGACCGCAAACTCACCCAAAAGAGTGGAATTTTGGAATTGATTGAGGAAGGGGACCACATTATGGCTGACAGAGGATTTGCAGAGACTTGCTTACAAAGCGAAAGGCCTTCCTAAACATGCCTCCCTTCTCTAAGAAAGGTAACTCAATCCTTAAGTTCTTGCTATTTACAGGACATTCCCCTACTTACCCACCATGCACACAACAGTCATTAGTACTTCCTTTCCTCTCATGGATGTTTGTAACTTAAGAGAGTCACATTATAAAGACAATCTCAACTTGAAATAAAGACTTAACAAAAGACTGAAAGGTCAATATTAAACATTAATTTTTTATTTCTTGCAAAATAGGTCAGCAACTGTCCAAAAAGTCACTGAAGACAACAAGATCAATTGCCAGTGCAAGAATTCATGTTGAGAGAGCCATTGAGAGACTGAAAGACTTCCATATTCTACAAGGAAATCTGCCTATACCACTTGTACCTCTTGCTGATAAAATATTAATAGTTTGTGCTGCTTTGTGTAACGTACTACCTCCACTTACAAAGTAGAACTCTACCGTATGCTTCCACTTTATCATAGAAACAACTACAACTAACTTCACGAAGCAAAGAAATCTTTCAGATTTATCTTACCCTTCACTTAACCCACTTAAAACTTTTGGTTCAGTTCACAAAGAAAGTATGTTTTTTGGAATTCATCCACAGAAGATAGCACTAGTTTACCAAAAAAAAAAAGACCACAATCACTTCCGTGATGTTTACAATATATGCACCTTGAAGTACTGTCATATATTTCTTGAGTTCAAAACAGTACAACATGCAAAAAACAAGTGTATTCTCTAACCTGCAAACAGGTCATTAAGACTATTTTGCATCTTGTAAGTGTATAAATTGACTTTATGATAGATAGAGCTTGAATTGTTAGTCAAGTGTGAGTAACCTCTTCAAGAATCTTTCCACTGAGGAGTTCAGGCACCATGTGTTCCAAAAAGAACTTTGATAGCTTCCCCACCATTTTATCCCACAATTCTTTGTCAAATTTAACAGGTACCACTAAGATTCCCTTAAGAGTGTAAATGATAAGATTACACTGTTCTAATCTAGCTAAAGCTAGCTGTCCTTGCATTTGATAATTCCACGATGTTTCTTTTTTTACGTAATATTTGCCAGCCACTTCATCAAGGCAGTGAGCTGCTGTAACATGAGGTTGAAGATTTCTCTTGCTAAAAATGCTCTTGACCTCTAAAAGTGTCTTGGCACAACACTTACAAACTTGAATTCTGTCTGGAGAAGCTCCCAGATATGGATACTG